TGTAGCATAAGGCTTTATGGATCAAAATCCACTTCTGATAAAGTGCTTAATAACTTTCTTAGTCCTAAAGATGTCACAAAGCTATTTTTATTTTAGAATTAAAAGAAATATTAGGACAAAAAAAATCCATAAAGTTGATATCTATAATAAGGAATCCACAAAAAAGATTTAAAACATTGAGAAGAGTTTGAGCCAGTGTTCCAATATCTGAGGGTTATTAAAAATACAGGGAAACAGTGTAAAATGAAGTTAGGAGTTTCCTTTTTAAAACCAGCTGTGAAACTGATGTGATGACTATGTTATTTTTTCACTTAAAAAAGTGAACAGGTGAGACATATATATCTCTAAACATAAACACAGGCTGGGTTCCAAGATTAATTTCAACTTTGATTTTTGGAATGAGCCACAGGGGCTGCAGTCATTCAGACTACCTTTGGGCTATGAACAGTGCATGAACTCAGCCATATGACCCTCTAACAGTGTAAGATCCAAGTTGAAGTTTTTTGTGCGTCTTCCACAACAGCCTGAGAAGAGCTTCCTTAATGAAATGCTTAGGTAAAACCTTTAAAGCCCTATATGGCATGGGACCAAGTTATTTGTGGGTCCATGTCTCCCTAAAGACATGGCCCCATCGATCGAATAGGCTGGGCACACTCCCAGTCCCTTCCCTTAAATGTTGCCACCTAGGAAGTATACCTTTTCCATGGCACCCCTGCCCTTGTAACCTTCTGAAAAGCACTTAAGACCTGACTCTTCCCCCAAGTGCTGGGATAGGGTGAGATTGGCATGGGAGGAGTGTGTTCTGGCTCGCATTGGAAAGTTTAGCTGTGGCAACAGGTCTTTCTGGTTTTAATGATTTTATTTTTTTGTACATAGATATTGTTTTATTTTTGGATTGTGAGCCACCCGGAGTTTGGTTCAAGATGGGAAGTTATGTAAATGTTTTAAATAACATAAAAATAATAAAATAAAATAAAATAAAATAAATCAGTGAGATTTGCATGCTTTAGAGGTCTATTTGTTTCTTGTAATACTGCAGGGCTTGGTGAATTCCTTTGAAAATATTTTTAACAACCATTCCCTAAGGGATATCGAAGAAAAGAAACAAATTTTAAAAAATTTGCCCTTGGTTATAGAGGATATAAGTTCAGTTGCACTATCAACAGCTCTTGCATCTCCAGAAAGGCAACCCCAGACTGTGGTTCAAAACTCCATAGGTAAGGAAAAGAAAGAGGGCCTTCTTTCTCTTTCAAGAAAAAGAGAAAGGCATCTGCCTTGAGGTTTTATAAGTGAAATTCCTTGCCCAGAGTCTCCTTTCATTCATCAACCTGTTAGCATATCTTCCTGTTGTGATGTCATTGTAAATTGAAAGTTACAATTCTGACTTCTTTAGCCTGGATATTAGCGATCAGGACTATTTTCAATTTATTCATCTAATTTATTAATTAAATTGATCTCCCGTCTTTCTATGAAACATTCAAAGTAGTTTTCACTGATTAAAGATATAAGTTACAAAACATAAAAACAAGAAGAATACTAGTAAAATCAGAAGTAAAATTAAAATCAGTATCACTGCAATCAGTATGGTTAATGAGAATGCCCTTTTTCACAAATAAACCCATTGGATGGGAAAAGCTCAGACTCCCATGACATATGTATCAGCCTGGGACCCAGAAAAATAGTAGAAGTTGGAAGGCAGATGATCACTTCTTTTGGTATTTAATGCTCTTTGGAGAAATTATTCCTTGATATTAATACCTCATGGATCATAGCCAGGTAAGATCCAAAAAAAAAAAAAAGCTCGTTAAGCAGTCCCATATACTTTTTCCATGACACAGCACGTTCTATCCAGGGACTGAGCAATCAGCTAGCAGAACAGAAATAATGGAGGATTCAGTAATGTAAAAATAAAATTAAAGCAGAGATATGATAGTCTCATTCTTTCATCTGTAGACTTATGCAACTATTTGAGGTACAGCAGTTTGCAAATTAAGCTGCTCATAACCAGATCAAAGTTGCAACTGAACTTCAGGTCCATCCTAGTTTTTGTATATGGATCGATTCTGGGCATTCAAGTGTTGTAATCAACACAGGTAGATGTACCTTTTTGTTAAGTGATTTATTATTAAGGAAAAGGTGTGATGTTACTTCGGTGGAAAGCCTTGACAAAGAAAAACTAAATACTCTTTCTTCATTACTTCAGTGTTAGTATCATTTCTTGTTTGGCTTTGTTTTATGACAGAAAAGCAGAATCAATGTTTGATTGAACAAGTACTGTATATGAAATCCCACAAACCACATTTTATTGGTAGAGCTGGGAAAATAATGCTTTCAGGAACAGAACATTTACTCAAAGAAAGTGCTGTTATTAAGAATTTTGTTTCACTCTATTATGAGATGTGGTTCTGGTTTAACAGGACCTTCTGGTAAAAACAAAAATGACTAGCATTCATTAGACCCATCCAGGAACTCAGCATTTCTTTGTCATTCCAGTGATCCAAACAAATCTCATCAGTCCAGAATCCTTTGCAAACAATGAAACCCTCACGTTAGAAGCTCAAGGAGACCAAATGGTCATTCACCCCAGAGGACTGATTGCCACGAGAAAAATAACAGGTATTTCTCTTTCATATCTTGCTTGGTTTATTGAAAGAGTAGATCAAAATCTATTTTTACAATCTGGTTTACTACTCCCTCCCTGTCAGCTGCAACCCAAGATTTTTGAGTTGCAGAGGCTTGGATCATACTGGTTTGGAGTAGGGAAGTTGCAATCCAACACATCTGGAAAGCAACCATATACTGTATACTTTCACCAGCTTTTTTTTTTCTCCTCCCTGATCTTCCTTTTGCCTCTTCAGATCCAGTTGCTGTGGCTTTTACATCATACAGTGGGCTGGAATCACTCCTAGAAGAAGCTGTACTGCAGAATGAAACTTTACTGG